AAAAAAAAAAAAAAAGACAAAAAACTGTTAGATTTTCAGCAACACTTCAATGAAACTATTCAGAAGAATTAAGAAAAGTGACATGGGGGAACAAAGCTCTGCTACGCTAAAGGTATGAAGCAGCATATATTTTCCTCTTTATGCATTTCATCATCCTTTAGCCTTTCTGGTTGTATTCCAGTAGGTCTGGAATGTGATCTGAAACTCTGCATTTTGTTCTTGCCTTAGTAAACTCATTGTCTAAGGGAGAAGACAGGGCCAAAGAATTATATCCAATGTTATAAGGACAAAGCAGTCCATTATTTCATACACAATTCATTCTCCTAAAAGCAAATGTAATATTAAAAAAAAGGAACCAAAAGCAATCAGCTCAAAGGGACTTAGAAAGCATGCGCACAGGCTGAGTGTCAAACAGCACTGCACTCTCTTACGTTTTCACCTGTATTTGAGCAACTGGAAACTTTGGCATTTCCACTGGAGATGCTAAATAAAATTTGAGAGTAAAATATATGACAGAGCAATAGATGCTTTTTGTCCCTTTTATCTCATCTATGAGTAGATCAAGACTAAAAACCTGGATGGACAACATTACATAATTATCATTTTTAGATGAGGGACAGTTGTTCATATACAGCAGCAGGTGGTCTCCAAGGACCTACATTCCATAACACTCCTGGCCACTTAGCATAAATCAAGGTTTAATATCCAGAGCTCCTGGTAACTGTCCAATGAAAACAGAAAGCATGCTGAAGACAAAAACATGGAAGTTAACCAGAGCCAGAACCCTGGTGCTCTCAGTGGGATGATAAATCACACCAGGATGATAAATCCACTGTCGATGTTGATCTTTTTCCTATTTACTAAAGATCCAAGAATAGAAAAACATCATTCTATTACTCTTTATACCCAGGTCTACAATTTGGAATTTGCAGTTTATTAAAGTTAAAAGAAAACAGGAAGAAACAAGGAAAGTGGCCACTTACCAAGTTCACCAAGGGTCCCCCAGAATTCCCGTGCTAAAGACAGAATGTGAAAAAGCTGTCAGTAAAGCCCATGAACACATGTCCACAACATTCACACAAACCTCCCAGAGAGGCTCCCCAAAGGCAGCCTGTTGTAATGAGCTCCTGCTCCTCCAAGACAGGTAAAATAGCATTACCAATACTCAAGTCAGGACAGGTAAAGAACCACCACCTTCTAAAGCAGGGGCAACCTCTATAACAAACCCTGAGAGAGCACCCCAATATGAAGGATGCCAATGATCATATCACACAAACTGAACTCCAAAACATGGCATTCCGACTTTCCCACAGGGATCTAACTAAACTCTGGACATCCCCAAAAAGCCAAAGAAAAAGGAAGTCACTCTGTCCCTTTATTCTCATGTTAGTGCCAGTATAGGGTGACCAGATTTTAACATTGGTAAGGCGGGACAACATGGGGGGGGCGGGGCAGGGGACAGGGCAGGGCAGGGCCTGACAACAATGCAAACTTTGATAAGCAGTTCTCGATAATCACTTCTCAGCAATTATTTGTTATTATTACAGTTTAACATTATAAAATTAACAAAAATAATATAAAACTCATATTCTGGTGAAATAGCCACATGGCAGCCGAAAACCATGTATTCCCTTCTTGTTCTCCCGCCCGTTCGTGCATTCTTTCCAAAAATTGGGACTTTTTTAAAACACCGCGGGATGCAGGACAAACTTTTGAAAAGCAGGGTGTTTGGTCACCCTATGCCAGTATCTTATGGGATGAGGACAGACCTCCTCAGTGACTTACATTAATGATGGCATCAGTCTGGATATAGTCCATGTCTGAATCCTTCAGGCCCAGCTCTTTGCCTCCTCGCTGTGTAGTGCTGACAATTCCTGCTGTGACTGTGTTCTGCAGAGAAAATGGGCTGCCCAAGGCAACCACAAACTCTCCAGCTCGAAGGTCAGATGATCTTCCCAAGAGTAACACAGGAAGGTCAGCCTGTGTGATCCAGGGAAGATGAGGAAGAAAAGGTGAAGAAGAAATCAAGAGCAAAACTGACTAATATTGTCATCTAACACAAATGTGGCACCACTGATATCATTTTGGCCCTTACCATCTAAGGAGAGTGCTTCTACTTTGCCTTCTACTTCTTCCTCAAAGTTTACCTACCACCGGTTCTCACTTGTGAAGATGATTAGGATCATTGCTAACATCTAAAATAATTGCTTTGCAGAACTAACTCTTAGTAATCTGCCAGCAAAGTAACTGATGGACAAAAAACTAACATTAGTAATTTACTTAACTTGAAGTTTAACAGTCAAAAAGAATAGGGCACAAAGGTGATCACCCAGAACAGCACTTCTCAAACCGTAATGCACATGCAAATCACCTGGGGATCTTATTAAAAATGGAGACTCTGAGTCAGTACATCTAAGTAGAGTCTGAGATTCTGAATTTCTAAAAACCTCTCAGATGACATGTGGGGATGCTGTCAGTGTGCAGAACACTTTGTATAGCAAGGACTTCAAAGTATTCCTTCAGAGCTTTGAGTTTATTGCAATAATTTCTGGTATGGGAAGCAGAGAAATAATTTTCCAAGAAGCAGCATCTGTTAAAGGAAGAGTTGTAGGAAAAAAAAAATTAAGACTGCTAAATAGTTAACATAAATTTTTAGGGATATACAAACAGCCATGTTAGGAAAAAAAAAAAAACAGTGTGAAGAACAGAAAGCAACTAGAAAAAAAGTATAAACCAGATGGAAAAGATGTGATGTGAGAAAGAAAATATCACTGAACAAATGAAAATCTGAAGTATGCAGACTCTGATTCAGCCCTCAAATACTCACATTTGGCTCAATCTTAATCAGTGCCAGATCCAATCTATGGTCAATGTCCTTGACAGTGGCTTCATACTGGGCCCCACTCTGGAGCTCCACCTGAATCCGCTGCTGGTTAGTGATGACATGAGCGTTGGTGATAATGAGCCCATCCTCAGACACTAGGAACCCAGAGCCACTGGATACAGGAATGTCCTTGCTGCTGAGAGGTGACCTATTTCCACAAGACAACAGTACAGAGCAGGAAAATCAGGGGATCCAGCCATAGTTTGTGTTCAGGGGACCTCACATTTATTAAACATACAGGCAGTCCCCAAGTTATAAATATCCAAGTTATGTATACCTCACAAGGGAGACTATAGTAAGTCCCTACGTTACAAACATCCCATTCGACTTGCACTTACAAACGGAGGCTATTACAGGTAATAGGTTAATGTACCTGTTCCAACTTATATACAAATTCTTAAGAACAAACCTACAAAACCTATCTCATTTGTAATACAGGGAATGCCTGTACTGACATCCCAGTTTTCTCTGACAGTTTGCTTTTCCCTGTCTGTATCTTCATTTCCCTGTCTGTGTTCTCACCCTCCCAGAGTTCTAAGGTTAAAGGCGTGAGCCACCTCGCCTGGCCCCTATTTCACCTGCATGTATAAGTGAACTTGGCGTGGACAGTGCCCCATCCATCTCCTGTGGGCACAACTGACAGCCAGTTCCAACTCTCCTTTCCCAGAGACACTGCTGTCTTCTTCTGAGCTGGCCCCTGCAGAAACCAGTGGGTTCTCCACTGCAAAAAGGCTGAATCTAATCCCACTACTATGGGCAAAAGTGGGCCTAGTGCCATAGTATCAAGGACCCAGGCAGGAGGGAATCAGTAGGGTCAGGTTCTGTCTTAGTTTCTGCTATCTACTGCCCTGAGACATAGGACAAATTAATCTTGCTTTCTGAGTCTGAGTTAGCTTGCATGCAAACAAGGGAGATGGGCAAGTTCACCCCCAAGGTACCTACTGGCTCTTATATCTGACCTTAAGCTTTATCTGTGGGAGATGAGGGAGAATGCCAC